ACCACACTCTGTCACCATTTTCATAACGCGTTCGCTTCCCGTCCACCTGTCTCCCCTCCCCTCCCTTTTGTCCTTTTTCTCGCATCGAATAATTTCTTTACACGAACACGAGCCATACACACGCGCACACACAGACACACACACATTTATTACTCGGCGTTTATTATCGTTTGATATATCATTGCAATGGTACACGTAAAAGTAGCATTCGTATGACGGCATAGAACGCGGATAATACTCTCAGATTCACGGTTATCGAATGTTATATCAAAGTACAGTTTCAAATAACACAGAATTGATTACTAATTCAGCCACACGTGTTTTTTTTTTTTTTTTTTTTTTTTTTTTTTTTATAAATCATTCATTTTTCTCACGTTGGAAAATACAATATGTATCGAAGACAAAAGACTTTTTTTTTTCGAAATACAAAAGATAATTTGAATTTTTACAATTTTTTCTTGACAAAATGCCTTGTTTAATAAAAAAAAAAAGAAAATCGTTTTGATTTTAATCTCTCTATACTTTTTTGAAAACTTAAAAAATTTCGGAAAGATATTTTCTTTAGAAGAAAGAAACATTTGAATCGAGGGAAGGGGGAGGGGGGAGGGAGATATAGGCCACGAGAAACATAAATACGCGTAATAATAACATATAAATAGCACTCGTAAGTGTCGGGAGTCCGAGTCCATTAGCGATCGTGTGTCGTTATCTATATTTGAGAAAGTTGGTGGCAAACGCTTTTCCAATAAACCGTTTATCTTAATTGAGGGGGAGTGGTGGAAAGGGTTGCATTATTCGCGCTTCAACACACACGCGCAGCCAGGGGATCGAAGACATTCCACTCTTTTACACTCTGTACACGCTGGTTAAAAATCCTTCTCCCCCCCTCCTTCCTCCCCCTTCTCTTAATAACCGCACAGGGAAAAAAGTTCGAGCTTCCGGTTGTCCATCGGCACAACACTTCTCTCCTTTATCATTATTGTTTTCATCATCGTCATCGTCTCCTCGAAAACGGAGATTATAAGTTTAATGATTAACTCGATCCCGAGGAAACTCGATGGACCACGGGTCGCCTCGAACGGCAAGTGTGATTATCTATAGGGACAGTCGATCATGGTAGATTAACAATATGGCCACCTGAGACGCGACACTAGCGCCACCTTATTAACCGTCACTCACGTTACACATTTTTACACGATATTTTTCTTACTCTTATTTTTCTAGAAAAGAAAAGAAAAGAAACGTATATACATATATATATTTCATTACAATGAAATCATGATTATTAATCCACCATGATCGTCCAACGAGTATATACTGTTCGTATATTAGATGTACGAGTGGCATAGTCGTTACGTTACGTAGTTGGAAGGGGGCGCGCGTGGCGTTACACGGCTAACCGGTATCACGATTTTGGTTTCAGGGTGCCACCAGGTTACGTGTACCAGTCACCATACCTGGCGGCTGCCGCGCCAGGTGGTTTGGTACCGCTTCCGGCCACGCAGTTGACCCACGCGGCTGCCATGGCTGCGGCGTCGCAGTTCTACGAGTATCAGAACGTTGCCGCGGCGGCCGCCACTTACCCGGGGACGTCGTACAATTTCGCCGAGGCCTATCCTTATACCAGCGCAGCCGCTGCTGGTATGTGTTTGAAAAGTGTCCAGAGCAAGGACAGCAACGGGCTGATACACCACCACCAGCAGCACAACGGCAGCAGCCCTGCGGTGCTGGCACACCAACGATTGGAGAAAGCTCTCCTGCCTCCATTTCTGCCGTCCGTGCTGCGTAGCAACGGTAGAAATTTATTCGAAAAAAAAAAAAAAAAATAGAGAGAGAGAAAAGAAAAGAAAGAAAACCGAATGCGTTGAAACAGAGAGGGATAGGGTGAACGCGGTGGGGTGGATGACGAGGGTGATGGGATCAAGTTCGACGAGAGTTGTGCTCCTTTTATTTTTAAATCAAAACTCGAGGTTTAATTTTCTTTCGTAGGTGGTTTTTAACGTTTTAGGTAATGCGAAGGGGGGAGGGGGAGGGGGTTGTAAAGTTGTAAAGAGAAATAGAAAAGGGATCGTTTTAGGTTTTCTTGAATTTGTATTAGCAAGAAATATTTGTGGAAATGCTTGGTCCCATCATTGGGTGTAAATGAGAGTGAGAAAGGAAGAGGAAAGAAGAAGTTATATTGTTTTTTTTTTTTTTTTTTTTTTTTTT